CCCCCCCCCCCCGTGTCCCTCCCACTCCCGGTTTCCCTGCTTCCGCCACGGCCGCTGGTATTCTTGAGGGGGCACTGCCTGCTGCACTTTCCTGTCTCAGGACCTTCATGCCCGCTGTTCCCTATCCTGGAAAGCTCTTCCCCATCACCTCTGCTTTCCCTGACCTGATCTGAGTCAGTCCCCAGCGACACTGTGTCCCGCCCCCCACTCACCCAGTGGGCTCCCTTCTGGCGCTTAGAACTGTCTGAAACCATCTTGTTATTGAGTTGCTGGTCTGCTGTCTGTCCCAAGCCCGCTGAACGGGGCCAGGTGGTCAAGTAAGGTTTGTGCGAGGGCAGGAGGGAGGGGGAGTCAGGAGCATCTTAGTGCACAGGGAGCAACCCAGATCGCTGGAACCAGGGGGCCAGGAAGCCGGGCAGGGAGCGGGGCTGGGGTCTACTGACTCGGGGTGGTCCACGGACCAGGCTGCCCACTCCCTCAACCCCATACATAGCCCGTGTTCCCAGGGAAGCCCTCCCCTAGCTCTCAGGGGCAATGGGCCCTCCTTTGGCTCTTCAGAAACTGAGTTGATGGCCACCGGCACCCTGCAACGCCCTTCATGACGGCTCCCCGCACAGCACACATCATCCCCACACGCGCTGAGCCCATGCTTGCCGAAAGCTGTCATTTCTTCGGCGAAAACGAGATCGCACCTTTCGGATTCACTGTAAGGAGTGGTTTCTCCCACCGTGGCGGTGCAGCACCTGGGCCCATCTGGAGGTCTTCGAGAACCATCTCCACCTAGCCCCAGCTGAGCCAAGGAAGCAGGCCCACCCACCAGCGCGCGAGCAGAGACGAGCAGGACCCTCTCTCAATTTCTTGTCTTGGCCTTTTAATAATTTTATTGTGTATGAATGTTTTATGATGTACAAGACACATTACTACAAGTAGGCCACAAACGGAGCTCAAGAGTAACACACGCACACCGGGGACAGCACTAGACACGATCACCTATTCTAACGTAGGGTGTAAGCAAGCAGGTGCGGGCGCTGTCTGCCGGTGGCCGGGTGCTGACCAATGACAGTGGGGAGCACCGGGGGCCATGGAAGGCTCCCGTCCCGCCCGAGCGCGAGGAGACGCTACCTAGCTCGTCACCATGCCAGGACGGAGGCCGAGGGCTGCCAGATGTTCTGAATTCTAAGGAGAACACACACGTTTTTATTTTATAGGACACCTCCCAATTCTGAAATATCGGCACCTCAGGAAACAGAACATGGAACACGCATGGGCGCCAAATACAACAGCGGAGGCGATGCGCCCGCACGCTCCCTACGTCCTGGAGCTCATGTCATCTCTGCAACAGCCCAGTGGGCCGCACTTCCTCTCTCTCTTCCCGATGAGGCCTAAGGACATCGGGGAATTCATCTCTGGTCTGAGAGAACCGAGTCTCCAGACCATGAAACCCTGGCTGCTCTGCGTTAACACGGCGCTTCGGCGGTTAGCTCTGTGGACGTGAACGCCACCTTGAACCCGGAGAGTCTCAGGGCAGGAGAGAGTCTCTCAATGAGCACAAGAGCTCTTCAGCTCCCAAACTACGGTAAACCACTACAAGAGAAGGTCCCGGGTTGGGGCGAGGGGCGAACTACTCCCACGATTTCTGGGGTCACCGCAGGGCAGGAGCCAAGCCAGAAAGGGAGGGATGAGATCATGGCGTCACGAGACAAAATCGGCACGAGGACAGAGGAAGGAGGGGACAACGTCTACATCAGGTCAGCTTACAGATACAGAAAAATACTAATATTTACTGGGTATCTAACTACTTGTCAGGAGTTGTTCTACACCTGTAGCTAGGTTAGTCCCTTTACTCTTCACCTTGTGAGTTGGTGCCTTTAGTATCCCCATCATACGGATCAGGAGACTGAGGCAAAATGACACGCCAAAAGTCACAGAGCCAGTGCGCTCTAAAGCCAGAGCCCAGGTTTTAAACCTCTACTATACATCGCCTCTCTAGTGCACAGATATCATCAGGATGGGGCACTGGGGCTCCTCGGGCCTCGAGCCCACCTGTCATTACATATGGATGGGAGAATTCCAGAAAAATGCACGTGCGGGCTAAATCCACAAAGCAATGCCAACAGGGCTGCATCTCTTTCATAAGCTCAGGGATCCTTCCCAATGACAGATGTCAAGTGTATTTTAATTTCCAACACCTCCTCATTCCCGGGGGGCAGAGTACAGAACTCATAACTCAGGCTTTTACAGAAGAGACAGTGGCTTCTCTTCAGTGACACGCTTCTCTTTTCATTCCTTTCGCATATGGGGATGGTGGCTACAGACAAGTGGAGAAGAGAATTTCCTGCTCTCAAACTTTTTATAGAAGTGTTATCCAACAGGACTTTCCACGAGGAGGAAAATGTTCTGCATCTGTTTTGCCCAATACACTAGTCACCAGACACGTGTGGCTATTAAACAGCTGAGGAATGGAATTTTTATTATGATGGAAAATGGATTTAAGAAGCCACACCCAGCTAGGGGCTACCATATTGGACAGCACAGCCTCTAGAGGGCGTGGTAAGAAATGGAGGGGGGGCAGTATCCAGGTTCTGTCTTCCCTAGAATGACTTTGCAGCCTTCTACTCTAGAGTTTCTGAAAAGGCTGGGGAAGGTGGAAAGTGGGTTGGGCTCCGCCATAGACTGGGCTCACCCCTGCCGCCTGGGCCCTTGGGAGCTAAAATGGCTCCCGTGAAAAATCCAAGTGGGGAATAGTATTCAGGGGGCAGATTCTTGTTTCGTACCAAATCAGATTCTAACACTGTGCCAATTTTAAACATTTTAACATTCATGGGCTTCATTCCCTACTCTTTCTAAAGGGACCCAGGTTCTAAAATCTAAAATCAAGTCTACCCATACTGCCCTTGCCCAAGCCCACGGCAAGGCCGGAGGAAGGAAGCCAAAAATATCTTTTCCTCCTCCACCTAAGACTTGTGCTCCTTCTAGGGTTTTCCTTCCAGAAGCAGACCTCTGAGTTCTGAAACGATGTCTGTGAGATCGAATGGCAGAGGCATCGAAGGGTCATCCTTTTCCCAGTATGGCCGACATTCTGGCTTCTGATCCACAGGTAAGGTTCGGGCAATCTGGGACTGGCACCTGGAAGAGTAGGAAGAGGCAATTAACCCATGCGAAGAAATTCCAAAGACCCAAATTCACGGGCATTTTGGAACGACACCGCCAAGCACTGCGAAGACAGTGCTTCGCGGTGGTGGTAAGGATGAAATGAAAGAAGACGCTCACCGGGCACAAAGCAGGTGTTTAGAAGACAGAAGAGCTGTTCCTCATAGCGTTGGAACTTCTTTTTCTTTTTTCGATTCCCAGCTCTGTATTATCTCTAGTGGCTTCACAGAAGCCAATCACCAGGGAAATTCAGTTACTCTGCCTTTAAAACGGTGAATTATTTTTTCATTATCTCAACTGTTATTTAAAGTGTGTGATTAAGCCATTATCAGATTTAAATGTTTGTGGGATTTCGATGTATTACTAGATTACTGGGAAAGATTAAACTGAATTTACTGCATTAAAACGTCCAAGAATAGATTAAACAATATTACGGGCCGGGATTGATTTTGGAGATTCTAGAGATTCACAAGTGTCCCAGCTTGCTGTGCTCAGAGAAAGGCACTCCAAGGAGAGACGGATTTATAAGGATATATGCAAATAGAGGTTAATAATCATTTCCACTGATGAATGGGTGGGGAAAACTTCCACAAAATTAAATTAAAAGGCTAGCAAGAGTTACTCCCTAAGGAAAACACTTAAATCACAGTTTTTATTAAATGGATTATTCATCAATAGTAGAGAAATTAATTATCATATGCAACTAAATTATAGCCTTGTAGGAAAAAAGTTGGGGCGGCATCATCCCCAGCGTGGCAGGCATCGACCTCTCAGAGAGACCAGCTTATTTAAAATTGGTCAGGGAAAGCTCAGTGGCTTTAGCTTTATTCGTCTGAAAAAATGAGGATCAGAGAGAATGAAACACAAATGGCGATAAGAAATGAACAGTTTCCCTACTCCCTTGGAGGACACAGCGGTGGAAACCTGTGTACCCGGAAGAAGTAGTAGGAGTACACCAGAAGGAGATGTACGGGTTCTTCCCCACGCCTAGCTTCTCCGCATTGTTCTCGAAATCAATTAAAAAGTGGCCACCGCCACGATCCATCTCCTGTGGAGGACGAACTCCGAAGACATCAAAGGACAGACTATGCCGGTCCTATGTCCGAGCCCGATGGTAGGGAAGGTTCCTAACGAAAAGACATCCTCTTCTCTGGGGAATTATTAATGGTGAGGGGATCCCCACGGGAAAACATACTTCAACTTTATACCTATTTTCTCGTGTGGTTAATTGCTCTACCGGCATCCTCTGCACTCAATCCGTCGTACATTACACATAACATTCCAATATATCTTCAGCTCTCCGCGTCAGACCCTGATAATAGCGTCTGTTACATGCACTAAGTACTATTATGTACCACATCACTTCATAAATAATAAGATTAGCTGACCTCAGGGCCCCAAGAAGAGTAATGTGTTTAAATGTTCTCATTATTTATTTAAAACAAGAATTAAAGCAACAGAAGCTGCTTTTGACAATCCTCTTAGCATAAATATTAAACTGTTTGCACTGATAAGCCCCACACAGAGCCGAAGAACAGAGGGTGTGTTCTGCAGACGACCTGGTGATAGGTGTTGGGGACGGTGCCTCTTGCTGCCCTGGTGTTGAGGCTACGTCTCTGTGGTTCTAGAGACAGTCTCTAAATCACAGGAAGGGGAGGGAGGGAAATTAACATTCAGGGGAAGCTGCGACTAATTACAAAGGAACTTGGCAAAGCTTTTCAAATTGTGCTCTCTCTCTGCTTCGAAATCACAGGGTAATGCTCAATTTACTAGGTAGGGAAAGTTATTCCAAATTGAGCAGCTCAACCTCTCAGCGGATAAATTATCTGCGCACACATTATCCCGGCTGGCAGATTAAAGGCCTATGATAAGTGTCGATCCACCTAGAATATCATCAGGTTTGTAAAAAGTCAATAGAGATGCTTTTTCACCTGTCAGATGGGTTTGCCCCCTCGCTTTGAGAAAGTATTAAAAATAGGAAAGCCTGCCACAGAGGTTTGCTTATGCCCTGTTGTATACGCCCCTCCCAACCCCGAGCTTTTCCTCTGGGTCCAGCTGCTCTGTGATTTCCTGCCCCCCAAAGAAGGGCCAGGCTGGTGTGGGAATGACTTCTTTCCATGCAGGACCTGAGAGGCTAAGGGGCTGGCTACCGTCACTGGCTTCCCTCTGGGCTGGAGGGAGAACCCTTTGTGGGGGTCTCTTCCTGCTCTGAATTCACAGCTTTCAAGGTCACTTTCAAACTTCTTTTAATGCCCCATGTTCCTTGCTGATTTCCAAAAGGAAATCTACCGAAAGGTAGTGATGGGGCCCCAGCAGAGGACTCATTATTTCAGGTGATGCCTTACCTACGGGGGAAGATGGCCACCCCTGCTTCAAATCCTAGTGTCTCGTTCCATATCACGCCAGATTGCAGAACCGAAAGAGAAGGGATTGAGGATGGCTTGAAGGCGTAGCCCCTTTTCAGTTTCTTTCTTTCCTTTTTTTTTTTTTTTTTAAGATTTTATTTATTTATTTGAGAGAAACAGCCAGAGAAAGCACAAGCATGGGAGGGGCGGAGGGAGAGGGAGAAACAGGCTACCCACTGAGTGGGGAGGGAGCATGACATGGGTCTCCATCCTGGGACCCTGGGATCATGATCTAAGTCAAAGGCAGAGCCTTAACCGACTGAGCCACCCAGGTGCCCCGCCCCTTTTCAGTTTCAATTCCTCTTGCTCAAATCACTCATTCTGCCTCCTTTTGGCTCATCTCCTAGGATGGGGCAGGAGGGAGGTCGAAGCGTCGTGGCGAACTTGGCACCTGCTGCTATGTGGGGAAAGGACATCCCAGGCTGGTTTCTCACCCTTGCTGAGTGGAGCCTCAACTCCTTGTCTGGTGGGAGTGAGGATGATGATGAGGAGGAGGATGGGAATAACAGTATTCACGGGGTGTTGGGAAGGATAAATGAATACATACATGCAGGGTGCTTAGAACAGCACCTGGCACAGAGTAAGCACTCAACAGATATTAAATATTATCATCGCCACCGTTATTTCTACCACGAGGACTAGTGACGGACAGAAGATAATGCCAAGACTAGAGCTGCCTGTCGTCCCTGTAGAGATACGGAAGCCACTCTTTCTGGCTCGAATCACACTGAGCCTGCGTCTGAGTCCCACACCACGTGATAGGCCTGGACGCTGAGGCTTAGGTAGTCAAGCTCCTACAGCCTCCCAGAGACAGGCTCAAATGCTCCGACTCAGAAAGACTCAACCGTTGCTCCTGAAGACCTAGAATTAGTAAAAGGTGCTGTCGTCGGACTTTTGAACAGGTGGCTCTTCCAGACTGATTTGGCATTTACAGGGAAGAAAGTCAGATTGTTTCTTAGCACACAGACTCTACAGTTCCTTGCAAAATAAAGGGGCCCTAAGTTCTCTTAGGTCATGTTTTAGGAATGCTGACCGTGGCACACATTTGCAGGCTGTGTCTATCCCTACTGTCCCTACCAAGAGGGCTGTAATTTTCCGGTAGGGAAATCCATCCCCTCTCCATGCCTGGCCACATGGTTTGGGTGGGATTGGCTCCCCTGCTATACAGCCAGCTCAGCCTAATGAGTATTTCCCACTCTCCCAGCCACAGGAAGAGGTTTTGGGGGAGGCATATGACCTGATCTAGGGCAAGAGGGAGAGCGAAACCAGAGGACTGATGTGGGAGCTGTGGGAAAAGCCTTTCTTATCTCCCGTGAGCTATCAGGATGCACTGTCTGGGAGAGCCACAGTCCTTTTGCTTGATGCAGCAAGGGGCTGGGTCCTAGGCAATATTGTTTGTAGCTGGATCAATCCTCACCTGAAGTCAGGCATGCTTAGAATTTTTTAGTTCCTTGGGGCACCTGGGTGGCTCAGGGGGTTAAAGCCTCTGCCTTCGGCTCAGGTCATGATCTCAGGGTCCTGGGATCGAGCCCC